AATGCTATGCTGAGTCTGCCTTGGTCGTGTGACACGAATCAACCGGCCAAGTCACTCAACAGCTCTCTTCACTGTCTCACAGCATCAGATGCGAAAGAGATCCCGAAAACATTAACGTTCGTCACTTGTATTTTTGAAACCATGAGAATATTCAAACAAATAAATCTGTCATCACTTGTTCGAGTTCTTTTCTGGTTCGCAGATATGCCTCATCTGGTAATACATATTGAAGGGGCGAGTTTGAATGTGCATTCTTCAATAAGCAAATACATTCATTTCATGTCACTGGCACGTGAAACATCCTAAAAATAGCGGTATGTAAGACAGACCACACTTGGATCACCGCGACATTTGGGAATCACCGAAGAAACTTTTTCCCGCTTTGTTGTTCAAGACTACTTGTTACAACTACAGGCGAAATATTCAGGCTGTGTTTTTTGGTTAAATTTCTCGTTTATGGTATCTTCCAATTAAATTCGCTGCACGAACCCTACCTCCTGTTTTATGCTGTGCGACATTCGAGAGATCCCATATATTTTCTTGATAGAGCAACCGATACATAGTATTGCTAAAAGGTATCCCGATTTGCCCTTCTTAACACCCATCAGGTAGAAGCGGCGAGATGTCGAGGTTCTAGAAGCCTCCTTATTTGCCCCCGTGAGTCCAACTAAATCGAAGATTACAACACTCGCGGAGTTCCTATGGCCAAACTATTTATATCCGTCCCATAAGAGAGACATAGTGTGCCACCTGTTCTCAACGAATATCGTTAAAACCACTTCAGCACGTTTCTTCAAGCAGCGTGTCTACACATAGCTTTCTTCATCTGCTTGACTTTTAGCCTCGAAAACTTCCATTTGTTTGTTGAACTGGACGGTACAATATGGGTGGTTTTAGCAACCTGACAGTTCGACAAGCGCTTAAATGAATCTTTGAATTTGTTTTAACAAATGGGGTGAACTACCAGCTCACCTGATACACAAAGCTCTGTCAAGCAAATACCATCGCAGGATACTCCCAGTATTCTGTCAGTCAGGTATAATATACTGCGGGGCTGGACTCTGAGTAATAAATGAAAGAGAAGGGGCGTCTCTAGCACACACTGGTCAAATGTTTAGTTCAACCCAGTTTATTGTTGCTCTGACTCAGCAGAGGACGACAATGCGTGAATGAGCCTTCGAAACGCTACTGTTCAAATGCAGTAAAATGGACCTTCGAAAACTGATTCCACCGTAAAAGTTTTCGCTTTCACACCATGGGAGGAATTCTTTTTTCTTCTATATATATATATATATACATATATATACAAACGTATATGTATACGTACACCATATTTGGGTGCTATAACGTCGGATGGAGGCGAAGTGACTGTATGGAATGAGAAGAAGCAGAACAATGGAGCTGATGGATATTCCCTCGCCATTAGCTCAGCCCTATGTGCAATCGGCTGTGATGTCGAATTTTTGGTTCACTAGCCGATGTTCACCTCTTATTGAGGGATCTGTCTTCCCCAATCCGCCAAGGCTGTTATTGGATTGGAACTTCCCAAGATCACGGTCAGTGACTTCTGCTTAATTGCCATTGTGGGCTTTCTGTGTACCTATGAAACTTTTATGCGTGGTACATGGGGTTGAATGTACATTCTTGCCATTGAATCTCACACCAGACCAAGTATGACGGATACTATGTGCCTGAAGTGCGAGTCTTGCTTGCGCTAGCGTTTACTGCGCCTTGAAGTACATTCACCATTCTTTGTCCTTTCCTCGATTGCTTGTCCTTGCACGCTTGGTTCCGTACTAAACATTCTTGAATACGTCATGATTAATCTTATCTGACTGAAACTGTTGGTGACATGACTTCAAATTCGAGGCTTTTGCCTTTTTATCTACTACTCTCCTGTAACCCTTCCAGCATTCATCGCCTGCATTTACCTTTTATGTCTGCGACCGTGCTCTTCAAAAATAAACGATAGTGTGAACTTGTAATTGTTCTTCTAGGTTATAAGAAACAACAAAGGCTGTATTAGAAGGATCGTGTTAAATCATATTTGTAGTCATCAGCGTCATCACCTACCCATGTGACCACACTAAATGCTCTGAGAGAAAAACAGAGTCGTGCTTCTAGACGGACCATGCTACTGAAAAGGTTGCTGAAAAATGCGACAACTCTCTCCCGGTTTCGTTCCACTGCTTTTTGTAACTCACACACAGCTATCGCTTACATTTACTATTTATGTTTGCGAATATGCTCTTCAAATATAAACGATACTTAACCCAGAAGTCTGGAAAGAACAAACGGGTGAACAAATGTACGAACAAAAAACGAACAAATGAATGAGTGGGAGAGGAGGGAGTGTTTAGATGATTGAATGAATGAATAAACGTGTGAATGAATGAATAAATGAGTATATGTTTCATAGATTTCCTCACTTACGCAACTGATTACCAAGAGATTGAAAACAAAGTAGGGTTAGTTCGGCGATAATTTCCTCACAGTAAAATCTTGGCACATTATTCTGGTCCTGGTCTGATAGTGCCTCACAGATTAGAGTGCTGTGATTGACTAACAGGTAGTTCTCTATATATCACGTAATTCTATCGGTGTACCCAAGAGGTCCATGGAAAGCCAACTCAGTGCCCATTAGTTCAGTAGTTTCACCTAATAACCACATATAGACCGTTTTTTCTACTTTGTCTGCAAAGTAGGTAACAGAACTCACCCACTCGGTGCACTATTCCACACAAAACACCCATCCTCAACATTACATCAGCTGAATAGGTGGATCTACTGCACCTTCTTGAGCGGCATTTCAAGATCTCCTTCTGTTACTTCGTTTGTTATTTAATCGGAATTCCAACTGGCAGATGCGTCGTTTTTTAGGACGTGTATCCTCGTGTTAAGAAAATCGGGCGATGGGAACATAAACATCATATTTTTAAGTTCATATGTATGGTGAAACAGCTGGAGCTAAAAATTCTGTGTAGTCTGCCATGGCTATTTCACATTGAGTTTTTTAGGACGTGTATCCTCGTGTTAAGAAAATCGGGCGATGGGAACATAAACATCATATTTTTAAGTTCATATGTATGGTGAAACAGCTGGAGCTAAAAATTCTGTGTAGTCTGCCATGGCTAGTTTCACATTGACGCTCTTTCGCACAATTTCACAGCACACTGGCTGCCTTGAGTGTGGAACGGTAGCCCAAAAGCCGCAGACGACCTTACCGTTTTAGCAAGGGAATCTAGAGGCAGCCTGCTTGCTGCACACTATGTGAAAGAAAACCAATGTGCTGTTGACCTTGAGGAACTTTATCGAGTATCCAACCCCACTAATCTCATCACTCGGACATTCTACCATATCATCGTTTAAATTAGGAATTGATTTTCTCCGAATCCGGGAAATAACCCCCCTCATCTGTCCCAGATAGCATGAAACCTATAATAAGCTGTCTATGGGTTTCGGACAGTTATCACAAATGACTTAATTCAGCAAATTGTACATTTCCTCAGCCACTTAAATAGCAATTTGGGAGAATCAAGCTGGTTGTTCTGTATGCATTAGGTTTGAAGCGGAGAATTCTTAAAACCACTCTTGAGAAGCCGGAGAATCCTATACCACATCTTGAAACTTCAATCGAAAAAATGATAAGTTTGTCTTAGAGACCATTCTTCTCCCGCGGTAACTTTGATCTTACTGACATGTAAAACCCTAGTCGAGTACGTTCACAAAGGAGAAAAGCAAACACAACAGTTGTGCACAATTTTTGGGACTGCAGCTGGCTGAATAAGCACAATACTACAAACATGTTCCTATTTGGGGTGGGGATGAAAGAGTGATACAAAATGTACTTTCTATCGGCTAACAACTATGAATACACTGGAGCCACTATTGTTCGTCTCTTTGCGGTCCAAATTTTGAGACCGGCCAATGAATAGTTTCATGTAATACCTTTTGGTGAGGTGATGGGTGAACTTGAGGTTTCACTGTCCAACAACAAATCTTCACTCATCGTATCCGAAGGGCGGCTTGTAGTGACATCTCCATTGTTGTTCAGGCCACATGAGCTGGACTGATGCTTTGTAAGTAGTCCCATTCGTGAGAAAGTCTTTGAACACCGCACACAACGATAACGTTTCACTTCTGAATGGGTTTGCATATGGGCTCGGAGGTTGGATCGGTCCGCAAAAGCCCTGGCACAAACAACACAAGCAAAGGGCTTCTCACCCGTATGCGTCCGTAAATGGCCGTTTAGCAGCCACATACGTGAGAAAGCCTTACCACAGAGATTACACTTACAGGGAAGCGTGTGAGTTCGGACATGCATTTTTAGCGCAGACATTGAATAGTAAATCTTTGTACAAATATGGCAGCAGAATGGTCGTTCTGATCGACACTGGCCAGAGGCGTCGAAAAATTGATTTTCCATCACAGCATTTGCTGATCCATGTGGCTCAAATGCGCCCATTTTTTCTATCTGGACGTTTGTACGCAGTCTGTGTGGTGGTCGCACTGTACGCAAAACAGGTTCGTTTGACCGGATACCTGCACTGATCGATGAAGTACCCGGTGGTTTTATTTGTGATTTGTAGGCTTCTGATGATGGTCTCAATTGAACTGCCGCCTGAGAAGCTAAACGGACATTACCGTGTTTGTGAGCCTGATGTCGGACTAGTCCAGTATGGGTAGAATAGGTCCGACTACACGTGTTACAATTAAATCTTTCTGGTGTGAACGAGCCTTTGGGGGAACAATTTGTAGGAAACCGTCTGCAATCTTTGACTTCGTCTGAACGTCCAAGGAGACTTGGAATAGAAAATCCATCGGATTTTTTCTGTTCTGGATTGGGTTTTCCTACTACACTGCTTCGCGTCGTTCTTGCTTCGAATCCATCCTTCACAACAGCGCTCGGTCTCAGTTGGAAAGACTCCCTGTTGGAGGTCAAGCACGCGCGAACGTAGTCATCTAGTCCATACTTTTGACGGGATGAGTCAAAGTGAATATCTGTGGTTAATCCAGGTAAATTAACAATACTCGAAGAATCTTGGTTTGATTTTTGGGGAACTGGCTGTGTGGCTTGTTGCAGGGAATGGTGTCCAATGAACAGTTGTGCAAGCTGATTCAGCTGGAAAAGGCTTATGCTTGGATCTGATGGAAACTGCAGGGAGACGTTAGGAGAAGGATTTTCGAAAGGAAAACCTCCATTACTCAGGGTGGAAGATACGCTGGATTTTATCTCGGCCAACTTCTCCAGCCTATCCAGAGATGAACGTGTTGACTTATTGTCCTTTGTCATCGGTTCCAAACGGTAGGTACCGTTAGGAAGCGAAGTAGGCGAGAGGGAAGTTTGCAGTAGTTCTGACGGTATATTGAAATCGGCAGGACCGTTGGCAGAAAGCATTGAGTGGAGTGCACTGGTTGTGTCTGTATTAGTAAGCTTTTCATCTGTGAACGAATCCGGGGTGCTTCCAAGGTTTGGCGAAGTTTGTGGAGTAGTGGTTGAATGTTTGGGACTCGAGTGGTAAGGCATAGGTTTGTCGTCAGTCGGGCCCACGCTCCAGTGGTTCCAAAGACGTTGAAATTCATCAAGTTCTTTAAATGTAACTAGAATATTTGGAGAAGAGAAAAGCGGCAGGAGGTATTAGCGTAAATCAGTAGTATTTCATGGGCAGTATCACTGTAATCAGCATACAACAGCAATACAAATTGTTTCTTATCCACAATTTATCTAAGGAAGCGTCACAAATACTTTTTACCGGAATCGCTTCGTCATTTTTGGTCGACTCATCTCGAACGGAATAAAGAACCTACTAAATGATGGTTGACAAAGAGATATTCCGCGAGCTTTCTGACTTTTAATAACTGGGGCTTAAATCACTTTGCTGTTAGCCTTTCGGCTAGCGAAAAACAAGAACAGCGTTTACTGATATCGTTTATTCCACAAATGGTTTTAGTGCATGTAATAATAAATATGATTATGGTTCAATTAATTATCATACCGAAGCTATGCAGCTTTTGATGGCTCCCAACGCCTTCTGTGCAACCACCGTATGGGTTTATCTGACAGTCTTGAAGGGCATATTTCCATCTCCTTGATAATAAATGATCAAATGAAGAAATGACAGAGAGTGACGCAGAGAATCAGAGGGAGGTAGCATTGAAATTGTTCTTCTCTTTTGGATCACGTATGATGTGTCTCCAACCATCGGGACAATTACAAGCTGTGGGCTAAAACAAGTAAACTGCATAGCAGCACACGTTCGGCGGCAGTTAAAAGATTTTGCTGCTAACATCTCACGTCGCAGCATACATTACTCTAAAGCAGAATTTCGGAGCAGGTAACAGCTTACAGGCAGATGCGCTTATTTTCTCTGGCAAGTGCGAAGGATCACTGGCGAATGCGAAATAATGGTCAACTTTAGTAGGTCTTGCCACAAGCTGTCTAAATCCCGATCTGTACAAATTAAAAATTATGATGTCTCTGGCAAACTACCGGCATAACTCTTGTCGTGTGGTGACCAATTGCTTTCATTGAAGTGGTGCAGGTTTAAGATTAGCTTATAGTAGTTAGTTTACAATAAAATGGTTATCTTGGTGTTACACGTGGGACGACATAAACATGTACACGAAAGGAAAACAGTGTATTCTTTTAAAGGAAACTACACACAACGTTACTGAAAACTCCGACGGCTGACTACCGGTTTCGCCCTTCTTGGGGTTCACCAGCTAGGTGCTGTCTCCGAGTTTCTGTCAACCTTATGTTCCACTTGAACCCGAATTGGACTGATTTCGACAAACACACTCATTCGCAAATCAATTTGGTTTTCACGAGATACTCAGATGAATTTTGAGTAGTTTCCTCCATGTTATTACACTGCAATATTTGAGATATCGCACCAACTGAAAAATGAGGCTGTCTTCGTGTAGTCCATTCAGTTGAAGTCATAAACAAATACTCAGATGAATTTTGAGTAGTTTCCTCCATGTTATTACACTGCAATATTTGAGATATCGCACCAACTGAAAAATGAGGCTGTCTTCGTGTAGTCCATTCAGTTGAAGAGTATCATAAACAAGAGATACAGTTGAGTTTTCCATGAGAACCAACTAGATACACAAAACAGTGCTTTTGTCTGAAAATAGTGTATTTGCAAACTGCTCATCGGTTCATCCCATCCAATGCGGTTCGGTACCTACTTGTTCCATCGCTGTCCCATGCTATTCAAACTGCTCCTCTCGTTTTACGTATCGTACAGCTGTGGAAAAAATTGACGAAATTGGACCGACCACAACCCTTATTTAAGTAGCTGTCCCAACCTGATGTCATAATGTTGGGCTCTACTGAGGATTCTTCCCCTTATTTAGGTGATGCAGCCCACAGGAACTGATTATACTGCATATTTTAATCAAACTGAAGTCTCATGGCTTGGTCGGTGGGCTTAATATCATAATACTGGATGTAAGCTCTCTTTTTTGAGACTGTACGAGCCAAATGATTCAAGGAACTATATGTAAGGCATCAAAAATTTCTGGGCCTGTGTCAGCAATTCACCCACTTCAGCTGGTGCTGCGTCTTCCAATTTTTTTGAGACTGTACGAGCCAAATGATTCAAGGAACTATATGTAAGGCATCAAAAATTTCTGGGCCTGTGTCAGCAATTCACCCACTTCAGCTGGTGCTGCCGATCGTCTTCCAATGAGAAATTTATCTACAATACAAAATGCACAGGGACTTTAGGCACAATAGCCGGTTCAGAAAGCGTGCCAAATAGGTAAGTTCACGCACAGTTATTGCGTACCGCAATATTGGTGAAGTGCACTTTTTGATTTGATGACAATAGGCGTTTAAACGAACGTATACGAATGATGCAGCGCAAACCAGTGGACAATAATATCACCACTATGTGAGATCTTTGCCGATATGAGTGAGGGTTGAATATTTTGGAAAAATACTGTTGCACAACACAACAATTCTACTTATGATACTATTAGGCCATGGGGACTAATCACACAAACGTTTAGATGTGTTCTCAAAGAGGTCGCCTCTGAAAAGGGCTTATCAAACCTCGTGAGTTTGCAAGGATTTTTTATGTCAGCCACCGCCCAGTGTAACCTCTTCAGAGAGAGATCATTTCGAGGGCAGGCCAAATACATTTATATTCTCAGCGCTCACTTACAGTTACTGGAGAATTGTTAGAGTTAGTCATTCGGAGAGTACTCTTGGTTCAAGCGATAAATTTATTTTTATCCTTATCTATGATTGTTGCTTGCGGTTCGCAAACAATGGCAGATTTCTCAAAATTGCAGTGAGTCTTACAGGTGGTCCAATTAAACGCACAGGATTACACATTCTTCTCACAATGGGAAACGGGAAACCAGTGAGTCACAACTGAAGCAATTTTGTAGGAAGGATCAGAAAAATTCAACGGGGCAATGAATGTCCACGAAGATTCCATTTGCTGAAACACGGGATGCCAGTGTGGTTTATCTGCGTCCGACATTCCTCTCTTTCGCCTCCGCGTTTTTACTCTTTGCTGTTGACCACTGACCACCCAGCCCCTGATAGAAGATGTGAGCTCAAAGCTTGTGTGACATCTCAAATCGGCTTTAACTTGTCTGGGAATGATCACTTAAATCCCTAGCGGCCAAACAGACAGTTTGTGCGGAAAATCCGGCTGCAATTTTTGTATACATATTAATAGCCCTATAAGTGTCAGAGCAGTATATGTGTATGCACAACTCTGAAAAATGTTTACGAAGTCAAAATGAAGAGTCGAAGTGCTCCAGAAAGCAGTAACAATTTCCTTTCATTCGTACTAAACCTGGGTAGACTAGGCTTGTGGACAGGGAAACGAATTTATTTTGATTTCTAAGCATTCGAAACATCAGTTCAGTTGATTGCTCTGTGTTTATCACTGTTGGAGGCAAAACACACTGCTGAGAGCACAGCAATATAATTCAGTGTTTTGATCACCTGAATGGCTTTGCCAGAGGGAAAAAACGGAATCTTCAAGGTCAAAAGGAGCTATTTGCATACACCACATCTTTTCTAATGCCTGATGTAGCCAGAAAACCGTCAAAGTATATCCACTAATGTAAAATTTAAAAAGTCGTCCTCCAAATAATCTCTATTATCAATATAAATGGTGCCTTTAAAGAGTTCTACAAGGGAATTTAAGTAAGACCAATTTAAGTAAGCCCAATCTTCCATTTGCAATATTATTCCATTTTACTGCTCACGACAGTAAAGCCAAACTGGGAACCATTTGACAGAACACAACCGGTTTCGCCTTGATAGCGGCTTATCAAGTAGGTGTAGTTCCCAATTTTCAGTATATGATTTGGATGGCCAATTATAAACCACTGGCGGAATACACACATTTGTAAAAACGGGACTGGATTGAACTTATAATCATCCTCAGTAAGGACATCTTCAAATAGATTCATTTCCCTACTTGCGTAGATTTTCCGTCCAAATAGAAAACAGGTTAGATAAAAACTTGAGGACCACGCCTACCCGATGAGCCTTCGGGAATGGCAAAACCGGTGGTGGGCTGGCAAAAAGTTTTTACCGATACTACAAGGTGTGGCGTTGTACTTGGAGAATGTCATATGTAATCCAATTATGAGTATGGTCCTACTTGGAATGCTTTCATTGTAAAGGAGTTGTTAAGAGTCTAAGTGATGTTGGACTTATCCCAGCTAGTCAGATGAGTGAAGAGGATTACGATAGGATTTAGGTTCTCGAATGATGTTAATATGAACAGCGTGAGCATATGAGTTAGGCAGCTGTCTAAATTTGGTTGCCTAGAATAATTTTTTGAGAGCATCGGGACTATTGCGATTTTTCTGTCCAGATCACGACCAGTTCGGCAGCCCCACACGAACATATCAGGCAGATGCACATCAATAAATTTCTGTCATTTCTAAGAAAGTGAACATTATGTTAATATGCAGGCTGCCTTTTTCTGTCAAATCAAAAAATATCATCGATGAAAACCTTTCGAAATATTGCATTCCATTTGTCGAGAGACACCTTCTCCAAGAAGTAACATCACTTAGAGTACATGTACTGAAACAGTGTTTGGCAGGGCTACATTCACTATCTTACAGGCCTAAAAACATTCATACATGTACATGGACAATTTGGCTTGTTTTTCTTCAATAAGCAGTTGAAATTTAGCCTTACAAACTCTGGATGCATTTCGAATCCGTCTGTGAGATTACGACCACGTATGCTATTAAGGCAGGATTGAACCCATACAGCCCTAGATCTTTAGTAGTACAACTGGTCCATAGTTGGGCTGCTGATCCACAGTTGAAATACACGTCAGTTGTAAAGTCCGAAGTAATTCCCAACCGTATCACTCAAGGTGCTCCTAAACAACCAACCGTTCCGAGTCAGCTCGTGTTGACTTTTTGTTGTGACCGCATAGATAGTAGTACTGGGAGATATTGAGGTGGTTCTCATCGGTCTGTTGTACTCAAGTTTTGCAGGTTCGTGGTTTCATTCATTCACAATTTTGAGTCCTGGGGTAACGCTAAAAAGGCCAAACACTTTTCTGTGTGTACAAACGCGTCCCGTTTAAAAAGGTGGAAAACTTTTGCTGGAATGTTTGCAGGCAGTAAAACGAGTGCTTTTGTTTTCAACAAGGTGTGGCTCTAATTTGCTCAGATAGCCATGGATTTTATCGCCTACTGAAGAGGATTTTAATGCTTCTTACATTTAGTTTATACATACTGTTCGAGAAAAACCTGTCAGTAAATCAGTTAATCTCCCAAAGACTACAAATACTGATGCATATACTTCCAGCCTCTAGTGTTTCCATATTGACTCAGTACATGTGAACCAGTGTGAATATTCCGTTAAAAAATAGTATAGTGTCTATCGACCCCTCTGACACATATAAAAGTTTAAATAACATATTTTCCGTTTTCCTCGTGGATCAACTTTGGAGTGAATGTACTATAGCCCCTTGGGGTGCTTGGTAACTCACAACCATAGCACGAGATTACTGACTCTCTTCTGGTACCAAATCAGCGGCAATTTAATACGTCAATTCTGCGCCATCGTTTACCTCCATATCACCTTTCACAAATCATTCAAGCCCCCAGCACAAAGCAAATTAAGTAAAGATATGTTTCGGTAGTAAAAACGGACGAGTTACAGGTGAAGACCCAAACTAGTTGAAATTATTACTCACTTTCTTTTATTCAGATACATCACAAAGCACGGTTAGAAAGCCTGAAAAAGAGCTTCCTAAGGAGAATTTTCTGTCACACGGTATGTAACCGTTTTCTTCCGTTCTGATATTTCTACCACCTCTCAAGACAAAAATGGTAATGATGTGACGGCGACAGTTACAACGATGATGATGATGATGATGATGATGATGATGATGATGATGATGATGACGAAACTGACGATAAACATGACCACAGAGAACACGATAATAGGGTTGACAAACAATACGATGATGATACTAAGTGCCACAGTTTTGACAGCAGTACAGCGTTTCTACAAAACTTTATTTAAAGACCCCAGAACGCAGTGAAGTTATTTTCGCTTTGTACTGCGTGTAAAATTACCGGCCTTTCAGATTAATGTCTCCTGGCACAGCGCAGCCTCAGTCATGCGAATTCGCATCATTAATCTCAGTTGAATCGTCTTTGTGTCAACAAATTATTCACACAAGTCTGTTTCCTTAAAATGCACTCATTTTCATACCAATTTGGTTTTAAAGGGAGGTACATCTGAAAGACAGCGTAATCTCCTGTTTGTGATTTTCTGCTTCCAAGAGCTTTCAGCAACTTCGTGAGTAGTGCATTAGTGAGACCTATTCCATTTTGAATCATTGTCTGAATCACATGACTGACATCCGGCAAAATGACATAGTATTTGGTTACTAACATCGCACCCTTTGTGTTATCCACCATCGCACAAACGGCTGGTCACAATTAGGACATTAGATTGACGTAATGTAATGCTGCGCCAAGAATTAGAGCATTTCCAGGATTTTGTCGGCGTCTATTATTGCTGAGTGGGTATTCAGGATCAACACTGATTTCGCCAACACGACAGTTGCGTCAGGTAACTG